TCACAGGACTCCACAGCTTAGAGGGAGCCTTGAACACATCCCCAGCACTTTGAATTAGCACCAGAGCTTTAAGAGCTCTCTAGCTGTCACCTGGAGATTGGCAACAGCTTGTTTGGAGAGTGGGGTCTATGGCGTATCTGTCTGAGGTTCCCCCTCTTCCTCCTCTTCAGACCCCACCCTCAGCACACTTCATCCCTAAAATATCCTTGAAGTTTCCAACCTGGAGTTGTCAACCCTATGTCCTTTCCAGGCAACCATCAGCCTACCTTTATCTGCCTGTCTGTCTTCAGGTTTACATCCCTCACCCCCGCCTCTGCCAAGGGAAAGGACAGTCTTTCCCTGCAGTGGGAACCAAAGCAGCTGACATCATTCTCCTCTTCCCCATATGATCCGCACAACTACCCTATGAGGTATGTTAAGGTTGAAAGTGTGTGAATGGTCCATATTCCCCCAGACAGCTTTTAAAACATGAACTTGGGACCTGCACACCATCCTCTGAAGCGCTCTCAGGTACATATCTGTGGCAGTAATGGGGTGACTGCTGGCACCTTTTCCTATCATTTTTTGCCTTGTGGTATTCTGCTTGTGGTGTGAGCTGTCTTTTTTGTGGTGTGGCATGATTGTGTTATTGGGTTTGTTTCTTTTGAAGGGGAAGTGATGTGTTGTGAGTGAGGACATATTTTACTTCAGAATACACCAGGTCCCATATGCAACTGACAATTCCAACTGTCTTGCGGGGGGAGGGAAGTTTGAGGTGTGGAATGGAGTGAAGTCCAATCAGCTTCCATATGCAAATGACCTTGAAATGCTGCCCCAATCAGAGAAGAGTGGGCTGAAGCGGCCCAGCCGTAGAAGCCCCATCCCTGCACTCAGTCTGCAGATGGTCCTCTCCTGTCAGAGGCCCAGAGTAGACTGAGCCGAACATGCTGGCCCGGGCTGATGTGGGCGGGACTACACAAAGCAGCCAGCCAACCCAGCCAGCGTCTTCTGACTGACAGTTCAAGCCTCCAAACACTGTTGGTGTGCATTGGAACGTTGGGCCCCACTATGGCTTTATATATAAGGGACAGATATCCTAAACCAGGGGTATCAAGCTCATTTGTTACAAGGGCTGGATCTAGCATAAATGTCACTTTGCCGGGCCGAGCCATCTGTGCCATATAATGTTATGCCAGGTACCAGAGATATAAGCTTTATAAAGGACACAGGCAAACCCAATTAACAATATTATTTGTACTCAAAATACAAACAAAACAATTGATTCCTAGCAGTGAAAGCAATTGATTTACTGGGGAACCCACAAAAGCCCCTATAAATGTATTTAATCATACGCAAGTCTAGGTTATCTCCAAGGGATACCATAAAAGGGGGGAGTACCTTACATTTCCATAGATACCAGTTGCTTGCGGGCTGGGTAAGAGCCCCAGGCGGGCCACTTCCAGCACCCGGGCCTTATGTTTGACACCCCTGTTCTAAACCTTCAAATGTATGTACAGACGAGTTGTAAAGCTTTACACAGATGTACATAAAAGAGGGGCACAGTGCTGCAAACATATTGAGTTCTCTTTATAGCCCTTTTCAGCATTTATGGTCATGTGTACTAGAAGCCTGGTAGTTGCATGTATTGGGAGTGTGTGTTACATGTGATCCTCCCAATACATGTGATCACTGTTTTGTCTGGAAGGGCAGCATTAGAGGCCCTGTTGCCTTGAGGCCCTGTTGCCCACCACACTCTAAGCAGGAGAAAAATTAAAACAAAAACGTAGCCTCATGTTCTTACTGGAAGTGACAAAGGGTAACTCAAGGAATCACCAGGAACTCTATTGCCCTTTTAACATTACTGTTCTAAATCAGATTTTACTCGTTGTTGGCCCAATTTTGAGTAAAGTGATACAGGGATGGGGGTTTAATACAGCCAATTTCCTTCCGTTAATGAGCCGTATCTGAAACACTATGGTCATTTCAAATAGTGCCACTTTCCCCCTTTCCTTTTCCACACAAGATCTGCCTAAAACTTTCAAAAAAAATCTAAGATGAGTGTTATAGTGCTAAACTGTTATAGCACTGAAGTGTTATAGTGGCACCATTGAGATGCATTGACTCAATGGAGTTGAGTCAATGAATCTCAATGGTGCCGCTATAGCACTGAGTTACTATAGTGGTTTAGCGCTATAGTGCTCACAGAACATTTTTTAGTAAGTCCAAGGAAGATCGCACAGTAAAAAAGGGCAGGGGGAAGGTGGCATTGTAGGAAGCACTATGGACATTTTAAACAGTACACCACAGCGATTCAGAAGCACAATAATCACTCTTGGCTGGAGGTGAGTTGTAATTCTGGGAGATCTCCAGGCCCCACCTGGAGGCTGGCAAGCCCATGCACAAGTAGCCAGCACATTTTCTGTCCCTTGCCCCCAAACATTTTGAAACCAAAGAGAACAGGAAAGAGGGGAAGAAATGGAGAATGAAGAGCAAAAGAGACAGGCAGGATGATTGAAAGGGAAAATAAAGGAAAGGAATGAAAAAGGCAAAGAAAATTTAGATGCCTTTAAAAGGAGGAGGGTGAGATTCTCTTCCATCTCTAAGCTACATATGCATATTGAGACACCCAGTTTAGGGAATTGGGACACAATGGTTACCTAGTCCAGTCTGCAAACCTTTGTGTCTGTTGGGCATAGGCCGAGGCCTTGTTTCCATCTCTGAACCTGCAGAACTTGTGTTGTAAACCTTCCAGAAGTCTAGTCAAAGACTATGAATCTTTCTCAAAAGAGTTAGTTCTCCAAAACTGTTAAAGGACAAAATTAATACTGACCAATGGAAACAAAGCCTCAAGAATCCTGAGGACTGTAGCAGGATGACACAACAGATACCTGTTCTAATTGCAATTGCTGTTTATAACTGAGAGAACATCATAGAATGGTTGTAGAAGGAAGCCCAAGGTGTCTGCACAAACAGTTGGGGGCCTGGCCTGTGATTTGCCAAGCTGCCTGCTGAAAAGTACAGAACTAACTCGGCTGCCATGTGAGTGCTTGTGAAGGGTTTTATGGGAAGAAGTCACTTAAGAGGCTGAAGCACAGCTGGAGGTAGGGTTGCCAGGTCTTATTTGACTGCTGGCAGTGGGAACCCCACTTCTGAAGAGTCCTATCCCGCGTGATGTACCAGGTGCAATGACGTCACCTGGAAGTGACGTTATCATGCTGGGCATGTTGGGTGGGACACTCTAGCATTTGGACACCATAGAGTTTTTGCCCAAATGCTAGAGCATCCCCTCCACACCAGGCACGTTGCACAGGACAGGGGTCTTTGGGGGTGGGGCTCCCCCATTGGCCAGCTGGCTGGCAACAGATTGGGGAATTAGCTGTGATTGAACAGTCCCGTTTCAAAGCAGAAAGTCTCAGTAAATAATTAACAGTATTAATACCTGCAGTCTTGCGTCCCAGAACCATTGGCAATTCTGGTAAAGCCTTCAGGACACTGAATGTCATAATTCAGAGAACAAGGACGGCACTGGGTTTTTGTGGTAATGAAGGTCTTCTCGTCACATTTGTTCTTCCCCTGGGAGGAGAAAGCAAGTTTTGATGTATCTAAAATTTCCACCAGCTGCTGTAGCTATGCCTTAAACAGTAACTTGTTAGGAGTACATATGGTGGACATGGAAAAACTCTAAAATGAACATTTCTGCAATATCATTTATTATAGGGTTGCTAATTCTGGGTTGGGAAATTTCTGGAGAGTTAGGGGTAGAGGCTGGGGGATGCGGTAACTGGGGAGGAGAGACCTGAGCAGGGTACAATGCCATGAAGTCCACCCTCCCAAAGTAGCCATTTTCTCCAGGGGATCAGATCTCTGTCATCTGGAGATTAGTTGTAATTTCAGGAAATCTCCAGGCCCCACCTGAAGGCTGGCAACCCTGAGATAATGCTTTTTGTGGTGAGGTAACATTATCAAATGGTGGTTAAAGACCCAGAAGAAATAGGTCTTTTCGAAAAGTGACAGCCATATTTGAAATAGGGTTGCCAATTCTGGCTTGGGAAGTTTCTGGAGCTTTGGGGGCAGAGCCTGAGGCGGGTGGAGTCTGGGGAGGGGGAGGGTGTTCAGTGAGGATGTGATGCCATAGAGTCCACCCTCCACCGCTGTCATTTCCTCTGGGGAACTGATCTCTGTAGTTTGGCAATAAATGGTAGTTTCAGGAGAATGCCAGGCCTCACCTGAAGGCTGGCAACACTAAATCCCCAAAGGGAACACGTTTTTTATTTTAAAAGGGAGTCTTATAACACCACAAAAGTTCCTTTTTGCTTCTGCTGTAACAGGCTCCACGCCTGGGAGGAGAGAACGGAGATTCTCGGTTTGCTTCCCACAATTAGAAAAGACTCCTTTAGACATTTATCTGCTATTCTGACATGTTTATTGCTTTACAACTGTTGACCTTGTAATCTTAGCTTCTTATTTAGCTCTGACTTTGCATATCTTAGACATCATCATGTTACATGTTAATTTGCTGTTAAGTCCCTGTTTATAAGTCTGGACCTTACCTACCATTCTGAAGTATTTGAAAAAGTGTGCGTGCACACAAAAGCTCATACCTTGAATAAACCTTTGTTGGTCTTAAAGGTGCCACTGGACTCTAAGGGTGCATTCAGATGGGGCGTTTCAGCCGGCATAAACAGTACCGGTTGGAACCGGTGCAGTTTATGCCGACTGAAACGCGATCACACTTACCTCCTGTCTGCGGAGCCCATCGCTGTATGCCCATTCACACACAGCGGGCATCGGCGGTTTGTTTCTTTTTTTTAACACAGTTTATACATGCGCATAGGCAGCCATCCACAGAATGGCGATCTTCACACATGCGCAAAACACCCCGTCTTACATTTAAAGTTTAAAGGTAAGGACTTACCTTTAAAGTTTAAAGAGCAAAGTGGCCTCCCTGAGGTCCCGGACTCCTCTAAAAGTTAAACTAAGGACCTTTTCTTTTTTTTTAAACAAACGCCGGGGCGAAGCTTCGCCAAGCGCATATCACCGACCTAAATAAAAATGGCGAGCGAAAATCGGAAGCCTCGGGCTTCCGAAGGGAAGTGGCTCTACAACGTTGGAGAGCGATCAGACGGGGGGGGGGGAAGCAATTACAACTGTTGCACTCAGGATACCACCACTTGGGGACCTAGTGGCAGAATACAACGGTTTAAAGCTCTTTGCAACGGTTAGGGACGGAAGGCAGATGTTCGCCATGTGAATGCCGGTAAGTACACCAATTCCAACCGGCACCTATACTGTTGCAAATGCCCCGTCTGAACGCACCCTAAGTGTGTTAGACTAACAACCTGCCACACTTATTTATTTATCCTTCATGTGCATAGTTTGAGTCTCACTAAACGAAAGGCAGAGCATCACTAAAGGCAACTCCACTCTGTATGTGGCTAGCAGGATGTTCCTTTCCTTGCAATGCCTGCTTTGTGTTTGATCACAAATGAGATCTCCAGTAATTTTCTCCTCCAAAGCCATGCAAAAGAATGATCAAATATTTTTGTACTCAGATTTTTAAAAATTAAAATATTCATACCCTGCTGTAATCCCAATACAAATAAGAGGGTTGCCAACCTCCAGGTGGAGGCTGGAGAGCTCCCACTATTTGCCAGTTTGGTGTAGTGCGCAGACGCCAATCTGGGAGAACCGGGTTTGATTCCCCACTCCTCCACTTGCACCTGGCTGGATGACCGTGGGCAAGCCGTAGTTCTGATAAGAGCTGTTCTTGAAAAGGAGCAGTTTCTGTCAAGGGGTCTCTCAGCCCCACCTACCTCACAGGGTGTCTTTTGTGGGGAGGGGAAGGGAAAGGAGTTTGTAAGCCGCTCTGAGACTCCTTTGGGTAGTGAAGGGCGGGGTATAAATCCAATCTCTTCTTCTTCTATTATATCTGATATCCAGGCAACAGAGATCAGTTCACCTGGGGAAAAGGGCTGCTTTGGAAGGTGGACTCCATGGCATTATACCCCACTGAAGTCCCTCTCCTCCCCAAACCCCACCAAATCTTCAGGTATTTCCCAACCTGGAACTGGCAACCCTAAGGAATAATAATGTACCACTCTCAATTAGAATGGGATCTAGCCCTTCTGTCTGTGTGCAAAAGGGCACAGGGGTGCTGGAATAAAGCCAACGCCCCTTTCTTCCTCTCCATGTTATATGTAACCATCAGGGAGGAGAGTGAAGAATGCTCAGATTCAACATTCATATGCTATTTAAATATCTCCTGATCTGGACCAGGAACATCTAACTTGGGATAATCTTTTTGGCTTTTCCAAGTGCCACGAATATGAACCCACCTGTTAAGGCAGAGGCTCTATCTGGGCCCAGAGAGTGTGTGTTCAAGGAAAGCTGGACAGCAGCAGCATGGACATGCCCAGGGTAAGCAGTTTCTAGGATCTTAACAACCTGATGTAGCCTTTTGGAATTAGCACTGCTTATCTGGGTACCCTTGTGATGCAAGAGATCCAGTGCTTTTTCTCCTCCAGAGAAAACTGATATTGTCACGTCTCCCTGGACTGCCAAAGAGGAATCTCCAGTCGGTGTCCTTCAGATTAATTTGGGCTGCAATCCTGGGTATGCTTACTTGGAAGTAAACCTCTTTGGATATAGTGAGCAAACATACATACTATGGGGCTGCTGCCGAAGTCCTTTGGTAGCGACTCGGGTCTACTTCAGTTCTAGATTGGCCATGCAATTTTAAGACTGAGTTCCAGAGTCCCTCAAAGTCCTGGGATTACTTTTCCAGACCAGGTACAGAGTGCATGTCTTCTTACCACTTAGTAGCTACAGCTACATCAGCCTTGTGTAATATTTATGATGAATGGGCAAGGAACTCGGCTACGAGGGCAGTAATTCCAGGCATGCAGGGCTGCTGCTACCTAGAATTACAGCCTGAAAACTCCCACAGTAAGCAACACAGTTTTAAGACCATAAGAAATAGGTGAATTACAAACATCAGAAACTAACCGTATTTTATTAGAATATACTATCCTTATTCTTATCTGTTCTTATCAGTTTAATATCTATATTGAGAGCCAGTGTGGTGCAGTATATCTCTTAATTTCCACAAGTATTTTTTGTCAAAACTAACTAAGAAACCATTCCTTGAAATCCAGAGCAGAAGTCAAGCCTACAGGTACCTTTTACTCATCCAGACGTTGGAATGTAGATCCCGTATGCACTCACAACCCTCCCCTCCACTTGCACACTTTCACATCTGTATCCTTCCTCCTAGATAATAATACAAGCTTTGACTCAACATACATTGACCATAAAATGCATCATCCTACTTACCTGCTCTGTGGCTGGTATTGCACTGTACGCACTTGCAATCAAAGAAGGCACAAGGAATAAAACGGTCAAGTTCTTCTCCATGATGAGAAATGGTTGGAGTATTTTTCTTTTCTTTGAAATGATTCGGTCATGAATTTTAAAATACAGCAACAAGTCTGCAAAGTTGCGCTAAGCTAAACTCATCCACATTAGGATGTAAGCCTGGAATCTTTCAAAATGTACCCTTGCCTTTTCTCCCACCCCCACCCATTCTTTTCCCCAAACAAGTGAAGAACGGAGACCATGTGAAACTTGCTCTTAGGTAGGAAAACGGCCCAAATGCACAGAGTTGTTGAAAATGCTTACGGCCAACTCAATTAACACTTCCTGGCTGGCATCCTGCCAGACTCTGCTGTGTGAACTCTTTTCTCTCTTCCCCCCTCCCCAAACCTTTGGAGTTGTTAACAGCACAGTTCCAAGGATGCGACGCACTGGTGACAAAGGAAGATAACTTTGTCGCTTTGGAGTGCATACCAGCAATCTGAGGAAGTCGTTGCTTAAAGGACGCACCATCCACAAACCTTCCTTAAATGAAACCAGCCCAAGACCAATCGTCATGGACCTGTATTTGCCAACTTTGCAAAGATGTGGGTATAACAGTGGACAGCAATGCCTGAGAGCTTGATGATGGGGGGGGGGGTCATCAGAAGTGGTCAAAGCAGCATCTTTAAGCTCTTGGTTAGGTGGATAGAAAGGGATGCGTTCATTTGTTGGTTTGTGCAACAAATTCTGGTCAAATTGGTAGTGGAAAGTGCCATCAAACCGCAGCCAACTGATAGCAACCTTGTTGGGTGTTTGCTGTGACCTGCCATTACCAGCCAGTTTGGTGTAGCGGATAGGAGTACGGACTCTAATCTGGGAGAACTGGCTTTCATTCCCCATTCTGGTGTGACCTTGGTCAGTCACAAGTTCTCTCAGAGCCAGAGGTCATTTCGAGGGGGGGGGTCGCGGGGGATCACAGTTTCCCCGGGTGAGGTACGGGGGCGGGGCACATGACGAAGCCCCGCCCCCTGCTTCCGGCCGCCCCACTTCCAGCCCTCATTCAGCCAGGAGGAGGCAAGAGAAGAGGGAGGATAAGTTGCTTCCTCCCTGCCTCTCCTCACCCCTGCCTTCCTGGGGCCAGGGAGGGCCTTTGCGGGGCTTCCTTGCACTCCCGCCGGCCTTGCAGGTCCACCGCCGGGCCCCTCATGGGGCTCGGCAGTGGAGCTGTAAGGTCGGCGGCGGCAGCCGGGACCGTTGGGGGCGGGGTGTGTGGCCTTATGACACACTTCCGGTGATGTCAGGGGGTGTGGCCTTATGACACACTTCCAGTGATGTCAGGGGTGTGGCATATGTTAATGAGTTATGCTAATGAGTCCCCCTAGCTCTTTTTCTACAAAACGACCCCTGCTCAGAGCAGTTCTTGAAAGAGCTCTCTCAGCCCCACCTACCTCACAGTATGTCTGTTGTGGGGAGGGGAAGGGAAGGGGATTGTAAGCCACTCTGAGACTCCTTTGAGTAGTGAAGGGCGGGTTATAAATCCAATCTCCTCCCCCTTCTCCTCCTCCTCTGTGTAGCAGCTCTAGATTTCCTTCCCATCCAAGTACTAACCAGAGCCAACCCTGCTTAGTCTCCAAGATCTGAGATAAGGCCAGTCTGGGCAATCCAGGGGAGGGTCTGGTTAGTTTGCCATATGTAATTAACAGTGTACGTTAGCCCTGGTTTCTCTGCTTCTTACCCTTCTCTCCTGCCTCCCACTGGAAAGGGCATATTCCATATGCTGTCCTTGTTTGGGCAGCCATGTAAAGGGCCAGTGCTATCCAGCAAGGAGTGGTTCATGAATTCAGACATCACAACAAACAAACCAGCTACGAATCTAAGTTAAAATCCTGTTTTGGTGTCCAAGGTTGTTGTATTGTTTGCATTCAGATGTCCCAGCTAAATGGGGTTTGATCAAACTAGGTCTCATCATGGTTTGACCAAGGTTTCTCAAGGTGTGTGAATGCAACTGATGGAACTTTGGTCCCTGCCACACAGCAGGGAAAACACTGGTCAAAGTGCGGCTAATTAGAGCCGCACCAAAATAGAGACGCTGCGGGCGGGATCCCATGGATCCCGTGAGCCGCACGCCGTTGCTCCCCGGCACGATCAGATGCCGGGGAGGAAGAGACGAGTGGGAGGCTGCCGAACTGCACATGTGTGAGCATGCGCAGTTCGGCCGGGGGCCGGGGATGCGCCAGCGGCAAGACGCGCCGGGGATCCCATGGCCAGCCGTGATGCGGACCTACCGGATGAACCACCTAGGTAGGTGGTTCATGTTTGCTGTAGGGCTGTCGGGGGAAGGGCCGGATCGGGAACGGGCCTGCAACACTTCCCAGATGTTGTGGTGGGATCGCGCCCATTTGCTGCGCCCCCGATCCGGCCCACTCTCGACCCAAAACCCCTTGGGAGAACAGATAGCTTACCTTCTGTTGTTTTTACCTTCCAGGCCATACTATATCATTATGGCTGGACATTTGGAAATAAAAAGAGAGCCCAAGGCTGTCACATAAGTCCAGTTAGAATATATTCTCTCACATGCACCCCTATTTTTATGTGTGTCTTTTGCAAAGATGCTAGAGGATTTTGCCTCAACGGCGGGAGATCTGTGCTATTCCCTATTAAAATCCTCCCAGAGCCTCAGGTGTTATGTTAACTTGTTTACAGTCATCAAGTTGACTTTTTTTGGTCACTGGAAAACATTAAACAAATGTATCTAACCTATAAATCTCCAACTGTGACCCATTACCATGCCCCTGTATTGTTCTTTTTGGAAGTGTTGAGCTTTTTTAAAAAAGTGAAAAATTATAACATAGGAAACAACAGGGCAAAAGGATTTCCTGCAAACTCATCAGATGAATTATACGACCAGAAAAGTAAACTGTCTCTCCGGGCTTCACAATGTACACACTGCAGTAAATTGCATATGCTGACAGCCTATACAGCCATGGCATCCTGTGGACCATTATTTTGGTATGGTTCCAGCATGCCTTTCCATATTCTCTATCCTGTAAATGATTCATCGACCCACTCAGAAGAGCAACATTAACACATGATGGAGAGTCTGTGAGTGTAGAGGAGGGGAGAGTGCTGGGGTCTTACCATACCTTGTTCACTGCTTGCTGAGAATGCTCCTGGGATTCTCAGATCTCACCTGGCGTTCCACTCCAATGCAGATCTAAGATTCTTCTGTCCCTTTTATGGAGTAATGTATTTATGTCTCAGGAGGAAGCCGAGGAGAGAACAGGCAGAACTGAGAAGAGAGGAGAGGAATGCTCTACCTCTCAGTATGTCACAAACTAATGAAATGTTAAAGTTAGGCTGGGTGGAAAGAAAAGCAGCTTAATGAATAGAGAGGGCAGTTGTGGGCTGAGCATGACAGAAGCTGTGAGAATGCAAGTCAGAAATGAACAGAAGATGAGCCCTGTTGGATCAGACCGGTGGTCCTTCTAGTCCAACCTCCTGCCCCACACAGTGGCCAACCAGTTCCTTGAGAGGATCAACAACAGGGAACAGAGGTCAATGCCTTCCCCAGGTGTTGCCTCAGGGCACTGGGATTTAGAGGTTTATGGTTTCTGTATGCGGACATTCCCTTTAGTCACCATGGCTAGTAGCCACAGGTAGACCTGTCCTCAATGAACCTGTCTAATCCCCTTTTAAAGCTGTCTATGCCTGTAGCCATCACTACATTCTCTGGCAGCAAATCCCATATTTCAATCACTCATTGTATAAAGAAGTATTTCCTTTTGGCTGTTCTGAATCTACTGCCATCACATTCATTAGATGCCCCGAGTTCTAGTATTAGGGGAGAGGGAGAAAAAGTTCTCTCTGTCCACTGTCTCTATCCCATGCATTTGATATATATAAAAGCCGTAATGTGTTGGCACTTTCCAGCTCTCCCATTGGCTGTGCTTTGTGCTCCATCAGCCATTAGCCCGTCAACCACCACTCAAGAGTACTTGTGTGTTGGGTCCACACCTCTCACCCACCCACTGCCAGCTTGACCACTCTTTCCTGTCAGAATAAACTGCCAAAACGGCTGTCTCTCCTGATGAAGATGCTTCTCCTGCTTGGCTCCTCTGCAGCTGGCTGGCTACTGAGGTGGGCCACCGGCTGTCAAACCATTCTCTTCTCCTCCTGCTGTGGGGCTAACTTTCCCCTCAGTGGCTGTTGCTAGGCAACCAAGCTTGGTTCTGTCAGTAAAAAGACAAAGGCAGGAGGCCCTTTCCAGGCCTACTTTGGCCTTTGGTGGGGAACTCATTGGGGCCAGTCCTGACTAGAGTTGCCAGCTCCAGGTTGGGAAGTTCCTGGATATTTTGTGGTGGAGTCTACTGAAGCCAGAGTTTGGAGAGGGGAGAGGCCTCAGCTAAATAGAATGTCATAGAGTCCATTACCATAGGGAACCATTACTACTAATCTTCAGGTGAGGTCTGGAGATCAATCAGAATTAAAACTGCTCTCCAGATGGCAGAGATCAGTTCCACTGGAGAAAAAGGCTCATTCTATGTCAGCATTTGCTCTGTTGTTTTACCAAACCCACATTGGAACAGAAAAAGATGTGGCTCAAAACCACATTCAAATACCCCAGGCCAACGCCATACTAACTGCAGAGTCACCCCGAATGGCCATAAAATGGCCATAAATCTATGCAGACAGTACCATAAAACCGAGAGACCAGCACACAGTGAAACCAGCACACAGTGTGAAGGCTACCATAAAATCTGACAATCAAAGAAAGTGAAAGTGGCATGCACTGTAGAGGGGAATTTCTGTTCCAGCATGGGTTTGGTAAAACAGCGGAGTGAATGCTAGATGCAGAATGGGCCAAAGACTGCTTTGTAGCATGGACTCAGTGTCATTATACCCTGCTGAGGTCACTTCCCTCTTGCTTGGGTCCCCACTGCGGAGAAAGACTGTACTTTTCCTAGGTAGAAGCTGCAGGCAGGGGGGGAGAAATGGAAAGCTGAAGTCAGAGGGGCAGATAGGTAGGTTGAAGGTTGGCTGGGAAAGAGATAGTGTTGCCA